CATCCCATGTCCCTCCCATCCCGCTTCCTTCCCCATCCCTCCCTGTCCCTCCATCCCTCCCCGGCCGGGGGGGAATTGTGCAACTCCCCCCCCCACCCCAAACACGTTCCCAACCCCGAGGCGCGGGTGCAATAACCGGTTGCTGCAACACCTGGCGCTGCCTCAGTCCATCCCAGCGGAGGATGGAGGAGCCAAGGGGGGGCAGGGGACGGGGCCAACCCCCCTGGGAGCATCACCCCGCTCCCCCCTTCCCGTGGGGCAAAGGGCTGTGCCCCGAGGGGGGAATTACAGGGTGTCAGGGGGGAATTACGGGGTGTCAGGGGGGAATTATTAGGCCGGGAGAGCGTGGGGCAGGGATGGGGCAGGGACACTCCCATGGGAGTGTGGCATCTTTCCTCCTGCCACGCCGGCGGGGACAACCCCGCTGTGCCCCTGCCAAAAACCCGGCACCAACAAGTTTGTGCCAGGGCGTTGCGTGGGCTGCACCCTTCCAGATGTGGGGGTACCACCCCCGTGACATCCATCCATCCATCCCACCCACCCCCCTCCTCTTCCTCCTGGACCATCCCTCACCCTAAAATCCGCTGCCACCTCCTGCACCAGCCTCATCTTGTGCCCTTCGTGCTGCTTGGAGCTCTGGCAGAGCAAGCAGGCCAGCTCCTTGTCCTGCAGGCAGAAGAGCTTGGCTTCTTCTTGATGGAGAGGGCAGAGGACGGCCGCCCGGCCGCGGGGTTGCCCTTCCTCCTTGAGGACCATCTCCACCAGGTTGTTGAGGGTATGGTTGAGGCGCAGGTCGTCGAAGGAGGAGGTCTCCTTGCAGAGGGGACAGAGATGGTGGCCGCGCTCCCAGGAGCGGCTCACGCAGGCCTTGCAGAAGTTGTGGCCGCAGCAAAGGGTGACGGCCTCTCGGAAGGGCTCGTAGCAGATGGGACACAGCAGCTCCTCCTTGAAGGTGGCCGTGGAGGACGAGGCCGAGGCCAAGGCCACGCAGCCGCCGCTGGTCGAGGGTTCGGCTTCCACCTCCATGGAGCTGAGGAGGGAAGGGATGGAGGGGAACGGGGGTTTTTTTTCCGGGAGTCCCGGGTGGAAAAACAGCTCCGTTCCTGATGCAATCGGTTTCCTGGCGGTGACTCACCCCGCAGCTCCCCCCGCTCCAGTGAGTGACACCGGCCCGGGCCACTGGTGGCCGCCAAGGGCGGGCAGGCTCCGGCAGGACCGAGGGCCACCGGATCCTGCGCGGGACTTGCCCTGGTCCCCGACCCCGGGGCCGCTCCGGTGCCCGGACCCTCCCCACTCCCGGTTCAATGGTGTCCCGGTCCCTGTGTGTCCCCCCGTGGTGTCCCAACCGGGACCTCCAGCCCCCGGGGGCAGCCCCGGTACCCGGACCCCACTCCCGTTGCTCTGCCCCGGCGCCGGGACCCACACTCCACCCCCGGGGTGCTCCGGTTCCAGGTCCCGGACCCCCAGCCCCGGCTCTGCCCCCAGCCTTAGACCCCTCAGTCCGGTGCCCAGACGGGACCCTCACCGCCGGTGCTCC